GCCAGTGTTCACGCATGCACCCGCTAACCCTCTAAATCCCTCACTCAGAATTCCTTCCTCACGAACACCGACTGAACTGATTTCCTCAAGTACTACTAGTCATCTGACCAATCACAGCTTCGATCATGGATTTCACGTCGTCCTCCCCAAAATAAAGGAAAAGAAAAAAAAAAGAGCGAAAGGCATTCCATGAATTGAAATACAATGCCTATGCTCCCCTCAAAAAGAAAGAGCGCCATTTCAGGCAAGTTTTCGAAAAATGGGCCAAAATCAAACCGACGCGCGTTTCGCTTCACAGATGGTTTTCGGGTAAATCCTCATCGCAAGCACATCAAGTTTTGCGACACTTAAGGACAATCCTGCGAGGATTTGTGACAGACATTGCCAGAAAAACAACACCCAGAAAATGTACACTACAAAAGCACAGAAAAGTTCTTGCCTTTATAGATATTTTAGATGGACGATAAAAAAAATCACTCTAATTACAGTCTGCGAATTTTTTTCATTACGCAAAAACTAGAAAAAAAGAACTTTTCAATTGGAAAGCGACGAGTAAAGGCAAGAGTTCTTTGAAACACACACCACTTCTCAATTACAAAGAAATAGTACATTTACTAATAAAAAAATTTAAATTAACAAACGCATTCAAGAACGAAATGCGTTCCTTTAAATCGCTACAGTGGGAGTTCATAAAATTTATAGAGAAATAGCAGGCTAGCCAAAAAATTCTTATTCTCTGGTGTTTTTTATTTACTTGATATGACCTGCTGTAGGTACAACATGTGAAAGAGTCCAAAAAGTTACTGCACAGCGGAAAAGTTTGCAATTTTGGTTCACCCTAGTCTTGAAAATAACGACAAAAATGTCATTTGAATGCTAATGACGAAGTTGCAATTTTTTGCATTTGATTTTAGAGCTTCTTGCTAAATCAAATCCCAAATCGCAAATCCCTGGACCGCAAATCCCAAATCGGCTTGCGCGAAAAATATAAACCTTTTTGGAAGTACTGTATCTGAAAACTTCGCAACAGTTTGAATCACCACGGTTAATTTATAAATTTCCTTCGTTTTGCGCAGTAACTGTTCGGAGATTCTTCATCAAATACGCATCGCTAGAAGAAAGGAAAATTCAGGAGAATTGACTGGATTCAAAGTAATCAATGTTTGTAAGCTGGCAACACTGCTGTGTAATCCTAAACGAAAAAGAAATACCTAACATTCACTTGTTGGACACATGAATCCCCCTCGCGGAAATGTTCAACTGGTAGTCACAAGCACCGGGTCTTCAACATGCAGGCGCAAGAAAAGTCGTCTAGTAGAAATAGAGACGGATAAAAAATGCGGGGAACCGAAAAAAGGAATCCTGCCCACAACTTATCAGGCACTCATCCATCACCAGGTATCACAACAAATATACAAAAAATCCCCTCCTTCGATCCTTCCAGAAAAAAAAAAACACCAACGCACGAATCCCGGAATGGAGGAAAACAGCGGAACGATTCATCGCTTTTCTGTCGCGCCCCGATCATCCAAACTAAGCATGGTTTTACATCCACATTTCCGACACACGGAAAAAAAACCCAAATTTTCTCTGATCGGAGAAGTCTCAAAAAATATGGCAGACCACAGCTAACGTACAAGACAGGCGAACACGTGCCATGCAAAAAGGTTTTTTTTTCATACGGACTGTAGAACGATGAAAATTATGATTCGCAGGACTACACACCTGCGTTCAAAATTTTACCAAAACGTACAAAGCCGAGTTACACGAAATGCAGAAGAAAATAAAAATAAATTGGCTCGAGGCTTCTTCTTTTCCTGTCATAAATTTGGTTGAATCCGGGATTCCGTCGAGAAAACACTTCGAAGCAACGGTCTGACTGTAAAAACACATCCCATCTGCCGAGATTTTCTTCCAATTTTTTGAAATGGAACAGCGAGCAACGAAAGAGAGAAGGCATTGAAAAGTTGGCGACACGAAATCCTCCCTATACCTCATCCATCATACCCAGAAATCTCCGTACCTTATGAATTTCCCCAACAAAAACTCCGTCGATCTGTCCGCATAAACATCAACTCGCGTCGAGTTAAATTCTTTCCAGGAGAGGCGGTCAAGCTTGGAATTACGATACCGTACAGCAAAGAAATAGAAAAAGAAGAGAAAAAATCCGATTTGATGAAGAGAGGCGGTGTCGGGAATGACAGGGTCTGGGTCTTCTGCTATCGTCACGAATGACGAACATCCGATACCTCACAGCACGACGCAGCAACGGCGACGTCGCTGCACGTCCGCGCTCGGTGTCGGCGGGTTCGGAGCGAAGTACGCGTGGACGTTCAAGTTTGGAAGATGGCTCTGTAGAAAAAAAAAGAAAGATTCAAAATCAGCATTTTAATAAATATAGTCAAGCCTCTTCCAAGTCGAACTTCGATGGACAAACAACAAAATTCGCGCTGAGACAGGTTTCGAGTGAGGAAAACGAGTATTTATGTGGGGGGAAAGAAAGAATAAATACAGAGAATTTCAATTGGAGATATTCTGGGCTCTAAATTGCACCCTAAATGAGTTGACCAGATGCTGAACTTGGATGCAATTGTTCATTTGCCCAATTAGTCTTTCACTTCCTTTCACAACAAATCGTAACATTTTTTGCTCTTTCCGATGTCACTAGCATAATAACGAAAATGCCTCAAGAAAATTCGAGTTACGCAGGTTCGAGGGGCAAAACATTCGAGTTGGGGACGTTTTCAACGCATTGGTTCTGAAGAAATTCGATACATAAAGGTATTCGACTCGGAGAGGTTCGAAATATCAAGGATAACTGTACATAAATATTTAATCAGAATCGGAAGGGTCAACCGCATATACACTGATACTCAGGCTCAAAAGGTTTATGTCGGCTCTAAAAAAATATGAGTTTCGAAATCATTCAAAATTTTTACATTTTTTTAATTACGAGGGGTGAATTACTACTCGCGCTTCCCTCCTCGGGTAGATGCATGGATATATAAACATGAATCTCCAAAGTAAACCTCGATCATTTTATGAGCATAACACCAATTTTTTTCTTCCTCTAGTAAGTCTAGTTGATCGGGTGCACTTGAAACATAAAATAAAAAGGAAACTCCATAAAATCGAGTATGTTCCACAGTATTTTCTAGTACCATGTTCCACTGAAAGAAGTATTCTGATCGATGAATGTTTTTCCAGACACGCTCTTCTTTTCAAAAGCCGATTCGAGAGCTAAAAGTTTCGGCGGACAAGTCTACGATTGTAAAATAACCTTCGCAGAGGAAGAAACGCTCTATTTGCGTGTTGCTATGGATTCAGCAGTTTTCGAGGATTCCGAGCAAGAAACTTCGGAAACCCAAGGTACTTTGGTCTAACTATACAGTACCGACAAAACTTTGGCACTGTTCTTCATACTAATCTCTTGCTCTGCAATCACAGCAGACAAAAGGCTCAACCGTATTTTCATTCCTATCGAAAGTTTTATCAGTTGTGATTGTGCGCATACAAAATCGCTGTTTAAAAAACTTTTTTTTTTAAATCCGGAAAAAAAGGTTCTATCATGAAATTCCGCATATAATCTAAAGTACGACTATAGGCGGTCGAGGTATACATTACAAATATCTGAATCAAAGTTGATTGCAAGAAAAATCAAGATCCGCTTCGAGAACATTTCGAACATTGAGGACGGGGTCAATGACGACCGACTTCATTTTCATTGCTAAAGGGCGATTCACAAGAGACTAGAGCGAAAAAATGAAAATATTGGAGGAAGTTTATGATTCTAATTACGAAGCATGATCCAAAGAAATTGAAGAAAATCCAAAAGAAGAAGAAAATACAGACACCATCCGGATAACTAAAAGTTTTCGACTCCCTGGAATGTAAATTAAATGAATCACATTTTTAAAAAGCAAGGTAGAAATTTAAACCACGTCATACGGCGACAAGAAATTAGTGAATTACAGTAACTTGAATCCAAGTATTTGTCCGGCTCCAGCTCTTTGAAAAATATTTCGCCGATAGCTCAATCTGGGCCAAGTTTAACCTCGAAATCTTTTGTAAAATGTTTCATGACTCTCAAACGCAGAACATAATACATGACTAACTCTAAAACTAAAGAGAACTTGCTTTTGCATACAAAAATGTAGTCCTTTCATGGCCAAATATAACATATCCCCATCAATAAATCACATGCTCTGAGAAAACTCGAATTAATAGCGCGATAAAAGCCCGTTAGCCAATGATTAACACAAATGAAAATACTGAACATGACACAGACTTTAGAATAACATCCTGATAAAATTTCAAGCGATTGACTTGGATTCAATCCAGCAAGAAATCTTCCAGATGCACTCGCCATGGCTAGAAACAACAGCGACGAAGTAGAAACGATAAAATATTCCTCCGTTTTTTTTTTTTTTTAAGACAAAAGAACAATAGAAATTCCACATCAAGAAGAATTTCAGAACAAAAAAATGGACCTTCAGACGCTTGATGCCGTCGCGGGAGATCAGTTGGCAGTCGTACAAGTCAATCCGCTGCAGATTGTGGCACGACAACAGGTGATCCAGCGAGGAATCGGTAATGAGCGGACAGTTATCAAGNGAAGCAACGGTCTGACTGTAAAAACACATCCCATCTGCCGAGATTTTCTTCCAATTTTTTGAAATGGAACAGCGAGCAACGAAAGAGAGAAGGCATTGAAAAGTTGGCGACACGAAATCCTCCCTATACCTCATCCATCATACCCAGAAATCTCCGTACCTTATGAATTTCCCCAACAAAAACTCCGTCGATCTGTCCGCATAAACATCAACTCGCGTCGAGTTAAATTCTTTCCAGGAGAGGCGGTCAAGCTTGGAATTACGATACCGTACAGCAAAGAAATAGAAAAAGAAGAGAAAAAATCCGATTTGATGAAGAGAGGCGGTGTCGGGAATGACAGGGTCTGGGTCTTCTGCTATCGTCACGAATGACGAGCATCCGATACCTCACAGCACAACGCAGCAACGGCGACGTCGCTGCACGTCCGCGCTCGGTGTCGGCGGGTTCGGAGCGAAGTACGCGTGGACGTTCAAGTTTGGAAGATGGCTCTGTAGAACAAAAAAACATTGATTCAAAATCAGCATTTGAATAAATATAGTCAAGCCTCTTCCAAGTCGAATTTCGATGGACCAACAACAAAATTCGCGATGAGAGAGGTTTACGAGTATTTATGTGGGGGGAAAGAAAGAATAAATACAGAAAATTTCAATTGGAGATATTCTGGGCTCTAAATTGCTCCCTAAATGAGTTGACCAGATGCTGAACTTGGATGTAATTGTTCATTTGCCCAATTAGTCTTTCACTTCCTTTCACAACAAATCGTTACATTTTTTTGCTCTTTCCGATGTCACTCGCATAATAACGAAAATGCCTCAAGAAAATTCGAGTTACGCAGGTTCGAGGGGAAAAGCATTCGAGTTAGGGACGCTTTCAACGTATTGGTTCTGAAGAAATTCGACATTTGAAGGTATTCGACTCAGAGAGGTTCGAAGTATCAAGGATAACAGTACATAAATATTCAATCAGAATCGGAAGGGTCAACCGCATATACGCTGATACTCAGGCTCAAACGGTTTATGTCGGCTCTCACAAAAAAATATAAGTTTCGAAATCATCCCAAATTTAAAAATTGTTTTTAATTACGAGGGGTGAATTACTATTCGCGCTTCCCTCCTCTGGTAGGTGGATGGATATAAACATAAATCTCCGAAGTAAAACTGAATCATTTCATGAGCATAACACCTTTTTTGTTCCTTTCTCTAGTAAGTCTAGTTGACAGGGTGCACTTGAAACATAAAATAGAAAGGAAACCCCCATCACATCGAGTATGTTCCACAGTATTTTCTAGCATCATGTTCCACTGAAAAAAGTATTCTGATCGATGAATGTTTTTCCAGACACGCTCGACTTTTCAAAAGCCGATTCGAGAGCTAAAAGTTTCGGCAGACAAGTCTACGATTGTAAAATAACCTTCGCAGAGGAAGAAACGCTCTATTTGCGTGTTGCTATTGATTCAGCAGTTTTCGAGGATTCCGAGCAAGAAACTTCGGAAACCCAAGGTACTTTGGTCTAACTATACAGTACCGACAAAACTTTGGCACTGTTCTTCATACTAATCTCTTGCTCTGCAATCACAGCAGACAAAAGGCTCAACCGTATTTTCATTCCTATCGAAAGTTTTATCAGTTGTGATTGTGCGCATACAAAATCGCTGTTTAAAAAACTTTTTTTAAATCCGGAAAAAAGGTTCAATCATGAAATTCCGCATCTAATCTCAAGTACGAACTATAGGTGGTCGAGGCATACATTACAAATATCCGAATCAAAATTGATTGCAGGAAAAATCAAGATCCGCTTCGAGAGCATTTCGAACATGGAGGACGGGTTCAATGACGACCGACTTCCTTTTCATTGCTAAAGGGCGATTCACAAGAGACTAGAGCGAAAATATGAAAATATTGGAGGAAGTTTATTATTCGAATTATGAGCATGATCCAAAGAAATTGAAGAAAATCCGAAAGAAGAAGAAAATACAGACACCATCCGGATAACTAAAAGTTTTCGACTCCCTGGAATGTAAATTAAATGAATAACATTTTTAAAACGCAAGGTAGAAATTTAAACCACGTCATACGGCGACAAAAAATTAGTGAATTACAGTAACTTGAATCCAAGTATTTGTCCGGCTCCAGCTCTTGAAATATATTTCGCCGATAGCTCAATCTGGGCTATGTTTAACCTTGAAATGTTTTGTAAAATGTTTCATGACTCTCAAACGCAGAACATAATACATGACTAACGCTAAAACTAAAGAGAACTTGCTTTCGCATTTAAAGGTGTAGTCCTTTCATGGCCAAATACAACATATCCCCATCAATAAATCACATGCTCTGAGAAAACTCGAATTAATAGCGCGATAAAAGCCCATTAGCCAAGGATGAACACAAATGAAAATACTGAACATGACACATAATTTAGCATAACATCCTAATAAAATGTCAAGCGATTGACTTGGATTCAATCCAGCAAGAAATCTTCCAGATGCACTCGCCATGGCCAGAAACAACAGCGACGAAGTAGAAACGATAAAATATTCCTCAGTTTTTTTTTAGACAAAAGAACGATAGAAATTCCACATCAAGAAGAATTTCAGAACAAAAAAATGGACCTTCAGACGCTTGATGCCGTCGCGGGAGATCAGTTGGCAGTCGTACAAGTCAATCCGCTGCAGATTGTGGCACGACAACAGGTGATCCAGCGAGGAATCGGTAATGAGCGGACAGTTATCAAGCTCCAACACAATCAAATGTTCCGACGAACAATCCGCGAGTCCGAGTGCCTTGATGCCCTCATCAGTCACGAGCTCGCAATGCGACAAACTCTGCGAAAATTCCATCACAAATATGGGTTTTCAGAACATCACAAAACGCTATTTTCATTTTTTTTTCTCGCTCGGAAATCGCTTCCGAAAATCAACTCACAAGTCTCTCGAGCCTCGGGCATCCGGCAGCCAAGTGACTCAACGTTTGATCCGTTATCAAAACACACTCCTCAAGGTCCAATTTATCCAAGAAATGACAATTCTTCAAGAAAGAAAAAAAAAACGAAACCCAGCTATAATTACTTTTCACCACACAAAAATCAAACGAATCACACACGACAAATGCAACTAACTGTTCCTTGTCGGGAATGAAAAAAAAAAAAAAACCAATTCGGTTACCTTGGTCAGAGCTTGGAAACCGTAATCCGTCAAATGATTGCATCCGGCGACTTCCAAAATTTGTAGGTACTGGCACTGTGCTAGCGCGATGAGCGAGTTGTCCGTCAAATGCGTACACATCGACAAACAAATGTAACGTAGGTTTATGCAATGCTTTCCAATTGCCTGCACAGCCCTGTCCGTCACATTCTAATCACAGGAAGACAATAAAAAAGAAAAACAAACCAAAAAGATTATGAGAAATACTGTATATATATGCACGAAATTCGCTTCAGTCAATCCTGGACTTTAAACTACACCTGAAACGAAAATAACGATGCACGTGTCGCTCTCGGCTCTTCAACCCCGTGGTTATCAATAGGTTATTTTGTGCTGATGTCAGGTTTTCAAAATGGAATTGAGAACTTTCAGCTCACCACACCGAAAAATGGATATCTTGAAATAATTACGGAAAACCTTAAACAACATTAAACTACTCATTATTCGTATAAAAAAATGTTTTCAGCCCGGTGTCTTGTCATTAATATTTACTGAAATTGTGGAAAATTTTCTCTGGATGAACACAGCGCTTCACGTTTTTTTAAGGGTGTCCTAAATTCACTGAATTAGGTTAGGTTCTTGAGTATTGTCAGTCTCGAACTTCTCTCCTTCGAACAGAGATTGGTAAAATTTAACAAAGCTATATTTGATTAATTTCCTGAACCCCATTTAAATTTCGGCGCCAAGAGGTTTGAAATTGAGGGGGCACAGAAATTCGGAATTGCATTGCACCACTGTTGAAAAAAATGTATACTTGACAAACGGGCATGTCTTGAAAATTTGCAGGCACTCCAACTACAACCCAATTTTTCAAATACAGACAATTCAAAAAGTGACAAGGTCAAAGATCTGAAACAGATGCTCCCAAGAAAATCATTCGATCGGCGCCTTTCTCTCTTTTCGCACTGGTAATGCTAAACTTAGAGGTAGCAGAAAATCGACAACTTGCGAACAAGAAGTTACTTGAGAAAAAGCAAGGAATGAAAAACGTGAAAAGATACTCCTTCCAAGTTTCCGTCTGTCCCCCTGTGACTTGGAGAATTCTGAACCATGAGACTCGGGATACTCCCAAAAACTTCATTACAAGCCACTGACCAAAACTTTTGAACCGTCTTCCTGTTTTATTTTTTGCCAATTCAACTACCCAAAAAATAATACACCCAGACTTCATAAGAACGCTTGAGTACTAAGGCAGTAACTCAGCCTCACAGGGAACCGATTTTCAAGATAGAAGTTTACATTTTTTTGCCTTGTAAAGAAAAATAAACAGCATATTCTCTGTTCGGTTGTTCACATGAAACTCTTATTCTCTCAAAAGTATCAGTAACGACAAAAAAGAGGAAGAAAAAAAAACAGACACACATCACAAGTAGAGAATAAAATTGAGGAAAAGTTCATGACAGAACTTGTTCGAAAGACAAACGGAAATATTATACACTACTTGCAGTGCCAGAGAAAACTTTTTGCACATGACAGTATCATTTGCATCACACTATACCAAAGCTCACATATCATTCAAAAATAAGATACAGACCTCTAATAGATCTAGAATTAAAGCTTAGAACGTTTTTTAACTTTTTCAAAATCACTTTAAAATTATATTGACTCACAGATTTTGATCTATACTCACTTTTATCAAACTAACTTTTTTAGGTGTTACCTATTTCCAATTTACGGGAAAAACTTGCACCAAAGATTTTCATTCATTGGTTCACAAGCTTGGAGAAAATGGCAACTCCAGTAGGATACTTCAGAAATTGAATGAATGAATTTAATTCTGCAACATTTATTGAAGCTTGAAACTCTTCTATTGTCCAGGATTGAAATTTTGCGCCCCCACACCCCAAAAAAATTAATACAATGGGACCCCAACATATGCAGTACTTGTAGACACACCCTGACATAGTGACAATTCGACTTATGGACACTTGGAACTGAAACAAATTTGCCCTAATATCCGGACAATGACTCAAGCTACATAAACTTTTCCAAGATTCCTTGCAAAAGTTTTTCCAAAAATCTATCGTCTTGAAGAAATTTGAGCAATTTACAATTATTCTAAAAATGAATTCGTTATAAAATCACCCTAATTAATGGTCAAAACTTAAAACAGGCTAATTTTATGTTTCTTTTTATTTAGTCTTTTCCATCATGTGTTATTCTCTGCTTCTTGAGAGTTCCTTCAGATGCCAAAAGATCAGCCTCTCTGTTTTTTTTTTTTTTTGCTTCCGTGCATTCATTTTCTGTATCTTGCAGTTGAGAAAAATATTTTATTAAATTTTTGCGGGGACTTCTCTCAATCATTGTTCTACAAGGAGAACCAATCAAAAATATTCCCATTGAAGTCTATGGGAAAACAAGGTCCAACATACGGACGTTCCGACACAGGGACAGGGTTCAAGAATCTTAATCACGTCCGCATCTCAGGGTCCCTCTGTAAATGCATCGGTAACCCCAATTAAAACTCACAATGCATCCACGGATAATGATGACCGCCAATAGAGGACAATATCGTGCCAGATAACAAATAGCGCTGTCAGGCAAAAGCGTCAGTCCGCTGGCGGAAAAACTCGTCAGTTTAGGACACCGCTTCGACAAAACCTCGATCGGATAATGATGACCGCCAATAGAGGACAATATCGTGCCAGATAACAAATAGCGCTGTCAGGCAAAAGCGTCAGTCCGCTGGCGGAAAAACTCGTCAGTTTAGGACACCGCTTCGACAAAACCTCGATCCCTGCAGGAAGAAAACACACACACACGCGGGTTATCACTACCTCAACAAATTATTCAGCCATTGCATGGACGAGAAACTCAGTGTATCCAACTGCTGGGAAACCACATGGGCAGAAAACGAAAGAAAGAGAGAGAGAGATATATATAGAAAGAAAGACGGGTGAAACATTCACACGCACACTCACCCATTTCCCCGATGCGATCGCACCAAGAAATATTGATGTACTTGAGCTGCTGGCAGCCTTCAGCCAGGAACTTGAGTCCCAGGTCGGTGAGCAATTCGCAAGAGCCCAAGTCCACCTTTTTCAACTTCGGACATAACTGGCCCAACGCCGCACAAGTTCTGGAACGGAAGATATATATATATACACTATATGCAGTATTTATTTGCTTTCTTTTCCACTAAAACATATATGATCTCCAAAAAACCCTGGCGTTCTTCACCGTCATGCCTCATGAATTAAGAACGATCCCCGCGGGGATCAAAGGGAGGGATTGAATTGCTTGAAAAAATTTTGCTTTCTTTTCCACTAAAACATATATGATCTCCAAAAAACCCTGGCGTTCTTCACCGTCATGCCTCATGAATTAAGAACGATCCCCGCGGGGATCAAAGGGAGGGATTGAATTGCTTGAAAAAACTATTGATCGCACAGGTGGATCCGCATCGCAGACCAATGCCGAAAGATACTTCAACGATTCAACGGCACGGGTAACACTTTCCGAAATCTCGCTTCAGAGCAACATTTTTCACTGCTCAAACTTGAAAAATAAATAAAAGCATTCAGGCGTCTCTCAAAATAATTCAAGACTGTACACGGAATCGATCACGTTGAGAGAACCCACACCCAAATTTTAATCATTTCTCAAACCACAAGTTCAACTAGTCCAAATAATGTGATGATCAAAATTCCAGAGGGTTCGATAATGTATCTACTCATGAGACGGTTCATGCGTGAATAATTTCCGCTGCAATCGAGTACTTGACTTGAATATATATTCAAAATTCAACGCAATTAACACAGTCACGGTATAGGATTCACAAAATCGAACATTGCTCACAGATGATGAACGGAGTCGGTGGTTGAATGTGAATGAGACAAGTTGAAGAACTTTTTTTTCGATATCCAACAATCCCTTTAATGCTGCAGTGCGATTAAAAGCCACTGATTTGACAAGACCTGCATTACTTATTCGGAAAAACATACGACGAATAAAAGTTCAACAAGTTTATAAGGATTTGTCCGACGCAAAAACTCCAGAGAAAAATAAGATAATCAATGCACGAATAGAGGAAATTGATAACACTAATAGCCTTGATACGAATTGTTCCTAATTGAATTTTCACTAATTTCGGCTATACATCAGCCTGAAGAAAATCTAGGGATACGTTACTTCACTAACGGTGCGCAAATAAATAAGCAATCGATTCGAAACAAATACGCAAAAGAAAACTAGGCAGACGGAATTCACCTGCAGCACGAAGATTTTGTAACGACTGAAACTTCATACCCAATACCCCTTTTATCCGACGTAAATGACATGTCATACGTTTCGGCAAGACATGAGTGCACGTACTGCAGAACAGTATTAAAAAAAAAAAACCTAAGCCAAAAATTCTCCAGTAACGTCAGGAAAAACCAATGATTTATTACTTGTACGAATTGAAGACTATACAGTATAATAAGTAGATATACTGTATACATACGGGTATGTACATAGCGATTACACCTTTGCAGAAGAATGGAGGGCAAAAATTGCTCTTAATTTCGTATCAAGATAGATTCACTCCTTTTAATGGTAGAGCTTCCTATATTACTGTCCGCTAAAAACTTGCATGAAAATACCGCAGCAAATTTTTTTCGAAACTCGGCGTGGGCATCAAATATCCCTTCTCTCTTTTCAGAAGCATCCTAATAATATACATAACCCTGCATACACTGATTTTGATCGCGTCTAACCACTTAATATACCGCACATGTATTTTCGAGCGATAATTTTAATGAAAATAACCAACTGTTTACAATGCAAAAGAATTGGAATATTCCGGGATAAAATG